TGCCTTAATAGTCCACACACAAATCTATACATATGTGCATTAATAAAACGATCACACTACCTACAACTAAGAGCAGCCCCCTCGGAGGCAGAACTATGCAGTTTTGAAAGGGCACAATCCAAAACTTCTTCTCTTCTATCACTTACACTGTTTTTATACTTTCAAAGCACTTCACAAATATTAATTAGCTCTAAATAAATTCTAATTATTTCTAAGAGTGGCCCTAGCAGATCTGTATCATCTGGTGTGAAATCTGACTTCAGCGAAGTCAACAGCAACAGCTCCTCAGACCTCAGCAGAGCTGACATTTCACTCACCACTGCTAAAACGCTGCGAGTGGTGTATATTATCTAGCAAGTACCACGAGTGGAGCTGAACTAGTAATAGTGGTAGTAACAAGTGGTGGTGTTAAAGAATACTGGCTGAGAACAAAAGGAGAAGAGTTAAATGACCAGAGGCAATCTGCATAGCCAAAACGTGGGAGAAGCTTTGCCACGGTTTGGGAAATAGGGCTCAACATCAGCTGAAGTGGAAGGTGCTTACCTGATGCTAAAACCGATTCATATACTTAGGATACTGGGGTTAACTTCTAACATCTGCTCATGCCACAGGTCATTAGCTTAATTAACACCCCATCTTGAAACATCAACCATTTATAAAGAGATTTGCATTATACGTCTATATAAATGTTACATATTATCCATATAACAAAATACATATAAAGAAGTTTGCATAAAAAAATCAAAATTCTGAAATTCCAAATATCGCACAGTGAATGGATAACCAGGCATGTAGCAAGTAAGTAGGGAAGCAATATTTTTCTTGCTAATTGTGGACAATACAGTCCATCACATACCGCCAACTTATTTTGCTCATACAAAAACGTGCTTTGGTTGCAATAATAATATTAAACATTTTACACACCATGCAATTATATCTAGGTGGGGTGGTTAAAATCAGCTGGAACCATAGATTATGAATCTTTTTCTCAAATAGAAATGTAATCCTAATAGAAGTTCCTCCCTTTTTCTCTGCCAACTTTACCAATGCACAATATGCCATAGAGAAAAAAGGGGAAGTGTCAACTTGTGTAAATTGTCCCTTATGTAATGCAAACCATCTGTTTAAAAAAAAAAACAAAACAAAATTAAAAACCAAGCCACTCCCAAGCGTGATCTGCTACGGAGAAAAAGAAAGAAAAGGAAATTTACTACTTCGAATTGGAAGCCAAAGACCATGACCTGCCTTGTAACCATGGAGAAAATATTTACCCCTCTCCTCCCTGTATTTACCCAGTTTTGCAAAATATTTGGAGAAGTATAAGTGAATAATTTGCTCTGCACACATTAGAGATTGATATTGTTGTATTCTTTTGAGCATTTCAGCTGTCTAGAATGTTTCCAATCAGGTAAGCACCCAAGCATAGAAAAAATTTTGTTTTCAGTAATAGTTCTCACACGGTGATGCCACCACTGGGTCAGAAGGTCCCCGAGTCCCCAGCCAGTGGAACCTGGCAAAGTATAGGGGGATAAAGTACTGGTACACTCTTGCCCTGTTCTTCTACTCTTCCTTAGGTATCTGCAATGAGAGAGGAATCTAAACGGACCCCTGCTACGAACTGCTATGACTGTTTCTGTGTTATCTTCATTCAAATCCTCAGAAAAGGAAGTATGTGTAGAAAACCCAGTACTCTTCCTTTCCACAGCCTTTCTCTGGATAAGTCATTAGTCCATTGGGAAGCACTGGCTAAGGAACCCTAAAACATACACTGTCTGAAACGACAGGGAGCTGTACATTTGACCCTCTCTTGCTCTCACATGGACAGGTGAATCAGAAAGCATGGAGTAAGTTAGTTTGGTTTCATTATCTCAGCTGAATGGAAGAAAAATAGCAGTGTAACTCAGTATTCATCATTTTTTCTCTTTCACTGACTTCAAGGCCGGATCGCACATTCTCTTCCAGCTGCAGCTGTGCTGGCTGAAGAGGCCACCAGCTCCAATCACAGCCCCCTGCCAAAGGTTACCGCTGTGACCAAGCTGCTTGTTTAATCACTTCCCAACACGTTTCCATCAAAATGAGCCAGCTCAGTTTAAGCAGTTTTAACCGAGGGTCCTTGCTACCCCAGCCTGGACAGAAGCAGGTCAGGGAGGGTTTAACCAAGAAGCGTGGCCAGCAGGTCAGCAGTCAGAGGCACAGTGATGAGCAACCGGAGACAGTTCTCTCTTCAGCCACGTGGTCTGGAGACAGAAGGTGGCAAGTGAGCCAGCCATGAGGTGTGACGGACAGCATAACTGACTAGGGGTCTGCAGTGCCCCAGACGACATGCTGGAGATCTGACTTTTCAAAGAGGCAGGGCACACAACAGTATAAATGTCCCTTTGAAGGTGTCCCCAACTAGATATCCATCATCAAGATACTCAGCATCGTTAGTTAGTTATAAAAATATTAGTTGTCACAGCAATTCCCTCCTCCTCCTCCCCCAAATTTTCTAAGCCCCCTTTTATTGAGAAATTGCATATGTCAATTTTCATAGTTCTTTGTTATTTGTGACTGGAACTGAATTGTCCCATGGAGATTTTTATCGTTCCTATGCCCAGGTTGTTAATGCTAGTAAATAACAGAATCGTCACTAAAGAATTCCTACCCATCAGGCATACAAAATAATCCTGAAAATCTATCAGTCCAGAAAAAAAGAGCAGGTTTTCCAAAAGGACCAGGAACATGTAGAGGTCAGGTTCCATTTCCATAAGGTACATAAGCCAAATATAAAACATACAATAGAAGTCAGGTAAAGATGCTGCTAGTGGGATCTCCAGAAGCTCATAGGAAGGTCTTGCATCCAAAAGCAAGCTCAGCAAAAGTTAGGCAGGTAATGTCCTGAGAAGCTGAGATAATTGATGCGTTGTACATTCTCTGTTGCAGTGCTATACTGGTATCCACTTTAGCTCAGTTCAAGCTAGCACAGGTGACTGTACTAAAGTTTACAGTACAGACATTTGCTGAATATCCCCGAGACTTAGACCCTACTGCCTTTGTCACTCTTCAAATGAAGATTTAGTCTCCTAAATCACTCGGGCGCTTTAGAAAATGTTATCCAAAGCTCTCTGGTTTACAACCTACCACATCTTAGCCAAGAGGACCGATACGCAGAAGGGCAAGCAGGAAAGTGGGAGAAGTATGTTTTAATGGCTTGTCAAAAACATTACTTGATGTGAACATGTTGTAGTTTTAAGGCAGCTATGTTTTTCATTTCTACAAGCTTTCTAGGTGTAGCTAAATCCGTATATGCTTTTCTGTTTACTCTAAACTGTGAGTGAAAAGAAAAAATCCCTTGGACTACTTATCACTTTTCCTCAGCTCCTCAGTCAAATTCAGTCAAACATGCCAGGGAATCACCAAACACAGAGCTGTCTTTTTCCACTGGCTTCTGCTCAGTCCTAGACCTTGGCATGCTGTAAATTCCAAGTCCTACCGCCAGGAGCAGCAGCAAACTTGCTCTTTTTATTTTTCATTTTCAAGGTTACACAAACATGCAATTTCATATGTACTTCATGGATGTGAGGAACCATGAGTCTATCTTACAGTTAATGTACGTGCAGTAAAAAGAAGGGAAAAAACCAACCTCAACTCTTTCTATCCAAACCAGACTTCATTAACATGGAACTAATTTAATCTGCTGGATATATCTAACGGGGTGCTTTCCTGACCTTTTCCAGACCTGCAGCTATGGTAGCCTTCACACGCAGTGTGGCTTTCAGTTAAACATTCTGCAATGTGAATCACTATTTCTCCCGTTTGAGCGAGACTGAGTGTGAAATCACTGGAAGAACTGAATGAGCCTATGCTTTGGCACTGCAGCTGCTGAGGGAGGTGAAGTGTTTTGAACAGTAATTTTCAGTAGTGGCCCCGGTCTGTAGAATATTAGGAAAACTGGCCAAAGAAACTCAAGTTCACATTCTAGTACCTTATCTACAAAACTTGTTACAAAAACCGAAAGGGATCTGAAACTGTGGGGTAAACCAGTTTAATTCAAGCAATCTTTTTATGTTCTAATTTTACGAAACTGCTGCAAGTGGCAAGTACTGAGTAACTCAAAACAACTGATGAGTTCATGAATTAGTCAATGATAGAGATGGATACACTGACATGGACGTAATTAAGCTAAACACCATTACTAGAGACAGAGAGTGGTAAAACAAGCAAGTCCTAGACAACTCAGTCGGAAACTGATGTCAGAAGAGTTACACAAGCACAAATGCATGAAAACAAGTGTATGAAATTCATGTTCTAGCTAAGCCTGTTCAGGGAAATGGAGGTCCTTGATTATTCCTTAACTTGTATTTATTATCATCCTGCTGACAGGAGCATGAAATCCTATAGAAGGCTTAAATAAAATTTAAAAAAAAATCTGGGGAGTGTAGAGAACAATACAAATCTTTCAAAGATTAAAAAAGTAGATGCTCTATTTTTTCACGTTAGGCTCTCATAAACATACTCATAGTTTGTGTTAGTCCATCAAACTGAAAGGCATATGCTATCTTTGATCTCTGTGCAGAACCCCCGTTGAGATTAATGTTGAGTTCTGTGTGAAGAAAGAGACTAGAATAGGCCCTCAGTTCACAAATAGTAAGCAGGCTGCTTCAGGAAAAAACAACGTATTTTCTTACAACAGTGTTGAAATTTATTGGGAAGTTTCAAATAGCTTCTCTTCAGAAGCATGTACGTATGTGTGGTCGTGAGCACGTTCACTTGTCAAGAAGATCTGTCAGAAAGAAGGTGTACAAATCTACTTGCTGTGTGAAATGTTTTGCTGTTATGTTGGAACACATACTTCATCTCTGACAATCTTTTCTTATACAATAACGACTAATCCTCTGTTTTACACTCATCTGTGCAAGTGAGCGCCTTTGTCCATCGGGCTAGAGGTGATACTTCTGTACAGATGGGCATGAAATTGTGCCCTATACCCACTTCCAGCTAAGAAAGTCTACAGGACTTACTGCATCCCGCTTTGTAGCTGAAACCAGGAGGAAGCAGGAATCCTTGCTGTGCAGCTGCTGCTAGGGTTCGTTGGTCTGGAGGGAATACGGGAATCATTAATGGTTTTTTTTGAACAGGAGAGGGAAAATCAAACGTGGAATTTTTCTGGGGGAAATGTCTGCTTACATGGTTTCTCTGATTTCTGATACGAGAGGTTGGGTTGCAATGTGCTCCTCCATAACGGGGTGTTCCAGCAGCATCAACTATTCAGCCTCGTCTTAATTATGAAAACAATTCATATGAATTACATCAATCCAAAACAAAGAAAAGGAATTCCACTAGTGCACACCTATATCCCAATTAATTACACCCCCCCACGCCCAGTCCATAACGCCTCGCTCCTCTTTGACTGCAGGGTGGGTTTTTCTTCTCTTTTATGGCACTGTCTAACAGCATCTCTGTCTCAGACAGTAGCTTCCACCCCGACGGAGCCCAGGCACGAAGATCCCGGCACACAGAAGTACAGATGTGCACATGGGTAGCGTACAGCGCAGACAGTACCCTTTTTCTGCCCGTACACATGCACTTATTCATACATGTGGAGGGATAATATCGCTGAGGCGTAAAGAAAAAAGACTGAGACACTTTATTCACAAATAAAACGCAACTATGACTGAAGCTGTTCAACTTTGCACATCAACTGTCCACGACCATGCCAGTCAGGAAATGGAAAATATTATATTGTAAGTGGATACTGCAGGGGACTTAAGACATGCAGAAATTAGTCATCAAAACTGGAAGTTGGCCACGGGACAACGTCTAATACTGTTGCTTTTACGGGGTTCTGTCAGAGCTTTTAATTGCTACAAATGGACGTCTTTGCATGTCGCACGGATGAGAAACAGAAAGTTTGCTAGATCAAAATGTGAAATGGCTAGTTTTAATTTAAAACCCCCACTGTACTGACCAGATCAGTCAGTAAAGAGAGACTGACTCATTTTTTTAAGAGAAGTCATCTAGATTTTTAATGGCATTGTAAAGCTGAGCCCTCTGAGGTAGATATATTATCAAAGACTAAAATTTAGTTTGTGATCTGTAGCGTTAAGAAACAAGGAGTATTAGGGTGCTGACAGACAACCTTTTTTTGGCCAGAGGCAGAAGAAAACGTTAGTGCCTTCACTACTGCCTGCAAAGCAGAACTGGCAAAAGAGAACCTGTGCCAGCTCCTTGGCTGCCACAGTTCAGACTAGAATATCTTGACTCAATTTTATGTTAATTTAATCTCCTGAAGATTCAGGAGGTGTCTCGGTTCCCCCAGCACTGTCGCAAGGCAGAAGAGTAATACGAAATTTGGGATGGTGACCTCTTAATTTATGCCAGGACCTGTCAACACCTGTGTGTGTGTGCTGACTGCATCTTTATAGTCTGAAACAATTGGTAAAGAACGGGGTCAAGGGCGCTGCTGACGGAAACTCTTGACGTGGGAGATCAAGATTGGGACTGAAGCTAGAGCACACGTAGCTCCACTCACTGAACTAACCTGGTCCATTTTTTGGTACTTCAGTATTCTCCTTCCTGTTCTGATCCTGATAACTAGAAAACTTATGTACTTTTAATTGGACTGCTTAAAAAAACCCCACACCAGACCATGTAAAATGTGATTTCTTCCCTATCCCCACTCAGTCATCCCACAACTGCCCAACGTCTGCCTTTTCTTCATGTGTTTATTTTTTGTTTGTTTGGTTTGGTTTTTGGTGGTGTGGGTTTTTTTTTCCCCTCCTAAGACAAAGACAAAGTAACTGTATTCTTTTAGAACAAAAATGAACAGCCGTGTGGAATTTTTGCATAGTACTCTTCTTCGGCAAAAAGCCACAGAACTTTTTTTTTTTTTTTAAATGGTTTCCAAGGATGAAAGTGACTTTGCCAAGCAAAGAAGCTTCAAAACAGGACTCAAAAACACTAATAGAAAGACAGATGGTTCTACTAAGAGCTTTGCTGCCAAAAAAAATGTTAAAAAAAAGTGAAAAAAATGGAGTGATGTTATTGAAGCTGACTGCAAAGTTCTCTGATGACTGCAAATACTCTTGTCCCACTGCAAGTGTTAACTCTGCCTCCAGGGCTAATATAACTAAAGCACCACACACACACAAATTGTCATTGCCAAGCCCACAATGTAGCACAAGTCTGCACTTGATTCCAAGTGACTGCCAAATACACGAGCAAAACACCACACTGAAAAATTCCCATTTAGGAAAACATTTACCAGGAAAATGCCCTCTCTTCTTAACTCTGACTGCTGCATTCCATTTTTTCAAACTCCTGCTCCTCTTTATCTCTCCAAGGGGCCTTATACCCACTAATTTCAAATGACACAACCCCGGTTGCGTTAAGGAGGTAAGAACTATAGAGTGATGAGGATGGTTAGCATGGATACAGAAATAACGCAGTCAAAACAATGTGATTTTCATTCCAGGATGGAATGTATGTAACACCACTCAAAACAGCTACACTTCATTCTCTCCCAAATACAAATATGTGCAAACATTAGTTTTTTTTAATCCGATTACCTGACACAAACCAACACAAACTGCAGACTCTCCATTTTTGTGGCGCATTTAACTACTACATCTTCACTTTTCTTACGTTGTTTATTATTACCTAGAATCGCTGGGATACAACTGTCTCAAGCGGCACAGAATACAGGCCATCCTTCTGACTTTTACAGGAAGAGTATTTTCCTCTTTCTTTCTTTTTTATTTTTATTTTTTTTAAAAAAAGCTATTTCTATGTCAGCTGCATCTCTCACAAATGTTTTTGGTTACAAAGTTGACATACTTTCCAACGTTTTCTCGATGGTACCACATTTCTAATTAGAGGTAATGGACAGCAACTTAGAGCTATTTTTCAGGCCTTTCAAACCATTCTGCTAATGGACATAAATATGTCCATAAAAGGAAATACACCATTAATGATCTAAAAATGCGTACAGCTGTCAAGATTCTCCACTTGCCAATCTCTCTACGTGATTACTTCTTCTTAGTTGTAATTACCTAAAGGCAAAGATTGTAGTTTAAATCCTCACCAAATTCCCAATGGATTTAATGGGCTACAATTTCACCATGTAACTTCTTATCTACTTTAGGATATTAGTCTGGATGATACCAATACAATCTTCTAAGGGCCTGGTTTTTCATTTTTTTCATTACACATACTATTGCCGCTATGTCAACTGCTCATGCCGTTCCCTGATCTTTCTTTTAATTTGAATGCCAACATGTCAGGTAAACCAAAAGTACCCTTGTACTGCATGACAAACTGTAGAGGCATGGTATGCATAGGATAGGCATATGACATATATAAAACAACAGAGAAATGAATCCAACGTCGTAAGAGCCATAATATTCTACACAATCAATTCACTAGTCAAGGAATTCATACTTTCACATATTTTTAACAAATAATTTGGGGCAAGAGGGAAGCCTGCGATGCAGTGAAGGAAGTAAACCACATCACTTGACATTTAGTTTATGCGAAATACTCCCCTTCAGGAAAAAGATACACAAGAGTTCAAAAAGGTGAAGAAAGTAAAGGTTCTCTAATTCATACTGAGGACAGCAAGTCATCATCTGTAAGGTGAAGTATTTTAGGAGTGGAAGAAATTGCAACCCTGTTTCACCTGGAGCCCAAACCAAAATCAGGGACCCTTCATGTTTGTTGCTGAAACACCAAAAAGGGGACTAGCCCTGAAGAACTTACCAATTAAAAAAGGCGTATGAGCACATGACAAGCAACTAATAGTTATCTACTGTCCAAGTGGGAAACTGAGGCACCCAGAGACGCCTGTAGAGATATCTGAATTTGGGAAGTGTCTCACTGTATCTTTCTTTGTTTCAGGGCCTTTGAAAAATCTGCCCTTAAATGACTTAACCTTATCAAAAGAAATATGTTACTAAACTTGGAACTGATTCAAGTTGTTGAAGCCTGGGCCAGCATCTTCACAAATATGTGCATGTCCTTTATGACTTGACCATAACAAATCTAACCGCACAAAGACATGCATTCAGTATAGCCACAGCTAGATTCCCAGCATTCCCAGCTTCATTATAATCGTAGTATTTCCCCTTAAATTTTGGTCTCCTACCTACTTTTAGGAACCTACTACGGTTACCACAGCTACCTAAGCACCAAGCAGTATGTTTTTAACAGTCACCCCTACTGTTTGTTACTAGCTCCTGCTGTGACTTACGTAAATTTAGATTGCAAACACTTGACAACTACACTGCTACACTATTTTCTGTGAGATGTCACGTGCGTTCTGGGTCACCATATGAATAGCTACAAAGACAAAAAAGGAAACATTAAGGTCGCAAACTTAGGCCTTCAAGACTTAGGAAATGCCAAAATCAGGATAGCATGCCAGATCTTATTTTGGTCCTTTATGCCCATGCATCCTGACCCAGTATTTAATGAAAAAGTTCACAATTTTCCCCCTGACATGACTCTTGCTTAGTCTAGCAGGCTTATAATATTTCTCAAGTAACACAAACCCTTACTTTGAACAATCTAAGCCCCAAACATCGCAGCTGCTGTTAGTTTTATTTATCTTTATACACTTCCACCAATTTCACTTCCACAGTTGTTCATTACATGTTTATTAGCATAAACTTTTATGTAAGTTTCCCTCTCTCCAAGTTAAATATTTCAATACATTTCCCAGCATCCATGTCATAACACTTTCCACTTCTTCCACCCACCTGTAGTTCTTCAGAAGCAATCCTATCCATTTCAGTGAGACTGGTGACGGAGCAACGAATTACTTAGTGTGAACAAGAACTGCTGCTAAAAGCAACACTTCCTTCTCTGCAGACTGACAAAGCTCTGAGCAGTATTTTACTCTTGAGCAGTTTCGAAGATGCCCTTCAAGAGCTGTGTGAGCATCTTTGCTGCCGTGATCTCTCACGTGGCTTCTTCATGTACAAGTGTGGCTAATTTTTATTTTCATTTGAGTCATTCTCAGCCACCTCAAAGAAGTTCAGCTTTTAGATTCCCAGAACAGTGGCTGTGCATGAATGATTCTTTTAACTTCAAACTGGTTTATGAATATCTTCTTGCCTGCGACTTG